GCGGCTTTATGCCCTCTACCATCCGCAGCGTGAATAAAACACGGGGGGAAGCTGCCGACCCCCCGCGCCGGGCTCTCGGGGCTCGCAGACCGAACAAACCGCTAACAGAGTGACATGGCCATACAAGAACCCCTCAGACTTTAAGGTGAGTTACATTCCATATACATCAAACTTCCAAAAATATTTTGCAAACTCTGGCATATGGCTATGATACAGTATGTACAAATGAAATACCAGAATGGTTACATTTTATTGCTAGGTGTGGTTTTTTTATTATTATTTGGTTAAGGAATTATACAGTAGTATAAAAGGGTGTGAGAAGCAGCAAGAAGCAAGTGTTGGCTTCTTGTCCTCTCAAAAGCCAAGGTTGGTTGGTTGGTTTTGTTTTTAAATACTATATTTTCAAATGTCACATCAAAAGCATTTCCGTATTGGGTCACATCTGCATTACCCAGCCAGGACAGAAGAGCGACAGTGACAGAAGCCTCAGCAATGGGTAACAGGGTTCCATTTTCCACATTCCTTCACTGACTCGTACTCCAGAATACAGTTATTCATAAAACATCCACTCTAAAGTCAAAAGTCAGCAATTACGAACCAGCGTCCACATAAACTGCTGTTTCAGCGAGGTGGCCAACTTCAATTCACTGCTGGCGCAAAAAACTCCGAACAAGATCAGCGATGTCTGTGAGCAGAACCACCCAGCTCGGCCCTGATCCACCCTGCAGGAGAATCCCTTCTCCCGAAGCCCTGTCCCGTGTTCCGGAAGGTTACAAACATGCTCTGTGTTTAGATCCACTGGCATAAACAAACCCTTCGGTTCCTCTACAGTCAGGAAACCTCACTTACAAAGTGTGCGTCGCTGGAGAACGCTGATGCGGCTGCATGCTCCTGTCCTGCTTTTCACATCATTCTGCCAGGGAGAACACAAAAGGTAAAGGTACCAAGAAGTGACCCCGCTCACATGAGCCAGGAAACAGCCCACAGCCTGCTCCGGGCCTTGCCCACCCACCCACGCTCCTGCTGACCAGGAGCTTTGCTCGGGGCACTTCAGAGCAACCTCAGCAATAGGGGTGGGAGAGACTGGCAGCAGCAGCAACCCTGCTCGAGAGATCTCCAGTGCCTGGCCAGAGAGACTGTCAGCACACCGCTGGTCACACCCCAGGCACAGACTATTCCCATGCTACTCAGCAGACTACGCTGCAGACTTTTACCTCTTAAAGCATCTGTTCAAGTTCTTTTTCTAAAAAATAGATAGGCTCATCTCACAGAATAATCGGGACACAAAACAGCAAAAGCTAAAAGAATGCTGAAGTGAAAACCCAAGCACTTGGTTGGCAACTGCTCCTGTAGGCTCATGATATAAAAACACTTTCGACTCTTCCCTCTAAAAATAAATCCTGCTACAGATGGGCATGATTTACCACTCCTGCTTTCCTCTGAGCCCAAGCTCATTCATGGATATACTTAGTCAAAATTGGAAATTTAGCTGAAGCCCTTAACCACTCCTTTTAGGCTCAGCCTCTCACCATAAACAGCTTACTACCAACACAGCCCCTGACACAAACTTCTCCTTAAATATGCATAATTTACTCGATCTCAAATATTTACAAGCAGAAGCAGCCCATCTTTACAAGACAGCTCTCTTTCTGCTCTACATAAAGTGCAGCTCTCTAATTTAAGGCAAATTTCAGTGATATATAAAACCATAGTTTTATTTTAGTATCTACACATTTTAAATTAAAAAGAACAACTCCCTTGAAAAGGAAAGAACGAGAGGAAAATGTTTCCAAGTTTGGGAATCTTCTGGATTTAGCACAGTCCCAATATTATGTCCTACTGACATAAAAATTTGTTAATTTCTTTTCAATAAATGCAAACAAAGAGGTGGCAATGTGTACAGCAATCTAGCTCCAAAGATCAGTAAAACACTGGGAAAGTGCAGGCGTAGTTTTTCATATCCCATAGTTTCCTTTAGCTACAGTAGCATCCGTCAATGTCACATTTCTAAATATATATCCTATACACCTAAAGCCGATCTCAGTTCTTGTAATGAGTATTTCTCATCTCCGTCTGTGTCAAATTTCTTAAAGCTCTGTGACTCTTGGGCCGTAGAGCCAAGCAGCTTTTGAAGATCTTCATATGATAGTTCTCCATCAGCATCTTCAGTTACTTTTTCCATCAAATTCTGAAGATCTGAAAAGAGAGAAGGATTTAAAAGTAGCTCCTTTAAGTACACAAGAATATCCTATAAGCTGCTCTTCCAGTTTCAGTGCACTATGTCTTACTACCCACTAATTAAATAAAGCAGACCCAAGTATGTAGCTCGCCTTCTACACTGTTGCAAGCTGTCAGTAACAGTTCAGGAGAAAAAAGCAGGAACATTTCTGCATTAAATTACATTAAATCTGAAAAAAAAAAAAAAAAGTCCCTATTTCTGGCCACGACTAAATAGTCCATTCTGCAACCACTAACTGCATACAGATGAAGTTATCCTCCACAAAAGCAAGCTCTGAATGACTGTTGCTATACCAACAGCACAGACGATATAAAGGGAAAAGTGTCTATTCATTTCCTGATGCAAAGCACTGCCCTTTCAGTAGCTGAAGAGACTGAACAGCAAGATCCAGAAACCATTCATTTGACCAGGCAGCATTCTCTTAAAAAAAATAAAGAACAGAAAAAAAGCCCAGAACATAACACACTCACACCTACTTCATTTTCCTTCAGCATCCTAATTCTGCCCTTGACTTCTCTCAATCTCTGGGGCACTTGGTACAATACTTTGGCACTCAAAACAATTACAATTCACTTATAATGCACACTCCTCTTTAAATCCCAGTTGCTTTTCTTTTACACGCTAGTCTTTTCTTTTAGGTTTTTTTTAATTACTTTTTTTTTTTTTTGAAGTTTGTAGTTCTCAAGTTTTTAAAATTGACCTCACTTCTGCCAGAATGCACACACACACTGCTGTAATTCCAGTTATACTTATCGCCTCCTGAACACTTACATGAAATATTCAGAAAAAAAGGTCAGCCTGAAAAGGACATACCTTTGATGCTGTAAATTCCTGGTAAGGACAGATGTCTCAGCTGTCCGTTACCCTCTGTGTTGTCATCAGCTGACCTTGAAGCCAGCCTTGAAAGGTCTGTGGGCTTTGCTGTAGTACTCAGACTACTTTCAACTGTTACAAAACAATTTCTATCAGTTTTACTAGTTCCACAGAATTACAGTTAGCAGAAACAAACAAAACAATCCAGTAAAACTTTTTTTTTTTTTGCATTACAGATGCTATATGGGATAAGAATGCTGCAAAATCGTTTCAGAATACAGCAGCGTTGTCCCCTCTTACCAATAACCAGAAGAGCAGAAGGAAGGAAATTTTTTTTGACAGTTATAGAGCTTTACTGTTCCATGGTGCACTAGGAGATTGTGTATGTGTAAACCCCAAAGAATGACTTTGAAGGGCTTTCTACTTCCCAGTCTGAACGTGCTGAACAAGCTTTGTTAGGCAAATGACATCTGCCCACCTGGGCTGTTTTCACCTTGTCAGTGCAGGTATCCACCTTCCCCAACAGCAACGTCTGAACTTCCAAGCTGCTGCTTAGCAAATTAACAACCACCACACTTCTACCATAATGAAGCATTTCAAGTCTTACTTTCAGCACTACCTGAATATACACAGCAACAATGCAGAGCTGAGACAAGTCAGCAGAGACGCAGACCTTTCCTCTATGGTACACTGAAAAGCTAAGAGAGATGTTACTGGGTATAAATGTCTACAAGTTCATCACTGTATGCCTTCCAGCTACTGATGCACGTGAATCCTGCTATACACACGGAAAGTCACCTTCAAACTTTTGCACTCACATAGAGTTTTCTGTTTTAGAGCCGTCAGTTTCCTACCACTTTAACTGAAATAATCTTCACCAAAAAACTTCAGGAACAATCTAAATTATCCACCTTCATTAGTTGTTCTTTGAATGACACACTGAACTTTCAGGTTTATAGATTACTATTACAAGACATTCTTACCATTCTTTGATGTCTCAATGGGTCTGTCACTTTCTGACTTGCCTGTGAGAGTGCTCATCAGCTGAAGCTTTTCTCTTAGTTTTGATACCTGAGAATCCCTAGTTCCTGTCTCCTGCATATGGAGAAAAAAAATCTTCTTAAAAACCACCCCTTCAGTAGATGAAGATCAGAAAAAGTAGTAATTTAGAGTATATAAGTACTTTTGAGCGACTTGGAGGTCGCCAGGCTGATCAAGTTTAAAATTATAAACAAGATTTTTAAAATAATTAAAAAAAAAAGTCTGTGGAAAGATGCAAGGAATAAACTCACATGGTCTGGAAGTAAACAATAAAATCAGTACCTCAACCTGAAAAGTAGGCAACTATTTTGCAGACAGAGATTTCAAAAGAATCTGACATTTAATTTCCATATTTCTTACATAAATGAGCAAGACTCTGAAAAATCGTAATATAAAACACTCAAACACACTTGGAGCGAACATTTATACATTAACTGAATTGCATGATTGTTTCAAATGTTTGT